GTGGGGAAATATGCAACTTTTCTTGTTATTTGTGTTTTCCAGAGACTGACTGTCTTCTAACATGGTGGCCGGCTGATCATATGTATCTGGCATATGTTGCTTCATGACTTTAATAATAATAATAATAATCCAGTTGTAACATTTCATATATTGACCTAAAGTTTTACATACCTATTGCAACCATCAAATATATCCCTGGACAAATGCCAGCCTGCATTCTATTTACCTTCAATGTTTTGGGGATCCTTTCACTGGAGATTTAATAAGGTCATAAGAGTTAAGCCCACAGACAATCTGGGTCCTGATATGGAAGCAAGCTTTCATATTAGCTTTTGGCTGGGAGAAGTTAGACATAATAAATTTAGCAATAAGCCTGTGAGCTAGTGGACATGCTCCAAAGCTCCCTGAAACCCTGTGTGATTAAAGAACCTCCCAGCTGAATGGGGAGCAATAGCTCCCATTTAGAAGAGGCTTTGCATAGCAAATGCGGCATGTAAAGAAATCTAATCAGCACCTTGCACTCCTGCGTGAGCATTTACACGGATTTGTGCCTTGCACTTACTTGATTAGCTTACTGTAAGCTTTACAAAGAGATTCCCTCCATTAAAATTAATCAGAAGCTCTTGGAAACTGTTTTCCATTCACAGGAGAAGGCATGATGACTTTCCAGGTGAATTAATAACGATCATCATAATAAAGACGATAGCAGCGTGATGAAACGCAAAATTCTGCAGGGGCTGGAAGGGGCGCCGGGGAGTTGGGGTTAGAATCTTCTCTCTCCAGGAGCCAACAGCAGCTATTTTCTCAGCCTAAGAAGGCTGCTGTGGGGAAAACGTGAGTGTCTTCTCTCTGGTGCCTCCGGGCTCACTGTACACAGGAGGCCACTCACTTCCCAAGCATAGCTGGTCATCTCTACCACGGTGGGGAGGAAGGATCCGCATCCCTGCAACACCCTTTCCTGCCCCCAACACACACACACACACACACACACACACACACACACACACACACACCACACGCGCGCAGGCACACACGAGATAATCATTACAAATTACAAATTTCTACCACCAAGGACTAACATGTTTCATCTTATCCCTCAATTTAAATGTGACTTTTGAAGTTCCTATTTTATGACGCCAGAAGGTGAATGGAAAGAGATTCTGGATGTCAATTGAAAAAAAAATACATATTTCCCCCTGCTTGCAATTTTCAGGCCCCTTCCCAAATTTGTTATCCTGAACCAGTTAAATGAAGCAGACAAATGAGAAAAGGCTCAAATCACTTCTTTAAAAGAAGCTAAATGGGGAGGGGGGAGTGAAATCCATCGATCGTTTCCCCGCGTCGCGGTACACTACAAGCCCCTGGATTCACATTCCAAATTTCCAACATGGGGCACCAGCTGGGGCCTGGGGTTCTCACCCACTCCTGCGAGGGATTCACCTCCCCGCGCAGCCGGCGATCCGGTGCAGAGCGCACCCCCTGTCATCATAGATCTGCCAGCGCCAGGCACCCATCCTCAGGATCTTGAACTTCGCTTCCCTCTTACTTTCAGCCAAAACCGGGCGAGCACTGGGGGGAAAAGGAAGCTCCCGGAGGGAGCGGGGGCCAGCAGAGGGGCAGGCAGGGAGGAGGTTCGGGGCGCGCGTTACCTGCGAAGGCTGCTGAGGTCTCCTTGCAGCGCTGGGGGCAATCCCGCTCGGCGCGGCGCCCTCCCCGAGATCCAAACTTTTGCTCTGTCCTCCGGGTGGCGGGGGCGGCGGCGGCGGCTGCAAGAGCCGAGCCCGGTCGCCCGCAGCCGCGGGGCGCGGGGGAGCGGAGGCCGGAGCTTCCGAGCGGCGCGCGCCTCCCCGAAGCCTGTGTGCGCCCGGGCGCCCCGCTCGCCTCGCTCGCTCTCGCCTACGTCCCCTACGGAGCCGCGGCTTCATCTTCCCCCGTGCTCAGCCACCTCCGCCTCCGGCGCTCCGGCATGCCACTTTCTCTCGGCTCCGGCCGCCGCTGCCCCAGCCTGCGCGCTTCCTCCGCCTCCCCCTCTCCGGACCGAAAGAAGTAGGGCGAGCGGGGCAGGCGGCAGAGAGCGGCCCTCGGCGGGCGGCGCCTGCACTCCCAGCGACTGAGGGCCCGGGGCGCAGGAGAGCGCGGCGGGCTCTGCTCGCACTCCGCGCGCGGACCCCGCGGAGCCTGGGGGCGCTGGGCGGCTCCGAGCCCTGCGCCCTCCCGGCGCCGGTCCTGAGGCTGCTCCAAGCCCACTGCTGCCTCAACACGGCGCGGCCAGGCTAATGTAGGCGCTGGGGTCCCCGCCCCCGCCCCTCCCGACACCCCCAGGAGATGTTTACAGTAATGAATTCGCGGGTTCGCCTCCGCGGCTCCCGCGCTCCTCCTCTCCCCTCGTCCCCCGCGCTCTGGCGCGCGGCTCTCCTTGAGCCTCCTTTCTCTCCCGGCCTCGCTCCCTCCTTCCTCCTCGCCCTCCCTCGCGGAGTCCCTCCCACTTTTCTGGTTTAAAGAATGCTTGGGAGGAGCGGCTTCAGCCCTCAGCTTTCCTAGAGGCAAAGTCAGACTGGGCTTTTAACCCTGTGCGCCCAGGAGAGGATCGCAGAGCTCGGAGCCACCCCTGTGGGGCCCCCTTGACCCGGCGGGGGCCGCCTCTCTCCGCCTGCCCGCCGCACAGGCCCGCCCTGCCCCCGCGCTGAGGGAGAACGCCAGCATCTGAACCATGAAAGGCTATTTCCCCCGCGTCTGTTTAAGGCTGTACTTCCAGGCGGGAGGATCAATTACTTAGACTCTGAGCAATGATCGAAATGTGAGATTAAGGGTTAAAAATATAGCAAGGCTTCAACCAAAATGGCGTTATTTCAAAAGCAGACAACCTTGATGAGATGGCCCACCCCCTCCGCCCTCGGAGATTCCTTCGTCCCAGACCTATTTCTTAAAGAAACTTTAATCAGGCATATAACCCAGAGTTTGACGCGATAATTTTGAACATCGCCACTTTCTCCCACCACCCTGGCTACTCTACTGCTTGCAGAGAGCGTAGTTCTACGTCCCTGTAGGTTGCAATGGACAATCAAACATTCTGTTCTAAAGATTTAGGAAACCGGCTGGACAGCTAAAGAAGCCCAGCGTTTCTGCTGCGCAATCTCCCTGCAAAGGTTAAAGAGTAATCTAAGGAAACCTGGGGAAGGGCTCTTTCTTGGGGGCAGAGCCTGGTTTTCACCCGTTTCCTCGCTGCGCGCCCAACCTCCAGTAAGTCGCTGTCGTGTTTTAACAAGTCCGGAGAGAGGCTGAATCTGAGCAGAAGAGGGAGAAAGAGCCCGCGTCAAGCACTAGGCTGTGCCGAGACGCGCTTTCCATGTGGCCACGCAACCCGCAAGTTTGAAAGCAGCCCAGGATCAACACCCTCGGGACCGCTTTCTGGGTAAAGAGTCAGGTTGGGGCGGTGCCTGCGACAGGCTAAGGACGATTTCCGGACGCCCTCTGGCGCGACCGCACTCCGGGTCCTCGGTTCAAAGCTTGAGTCACTTGGCACCACTTCCCCGATTGTTTTTATTTCCTGCGCATCCCTGTCGTCTCCAGCACTTTCATGTACTCGAGCGCCTACGTCAATTCAAAACGACCTGGAGAAACGCCCGATGCGTCTCTCAAACCACGCACGGATCCACGAGACGCGCGCTGACACACGCGCTCACACGTGCACACACTCAGATTCACCACACTGCTCGAACTCTTGAGCGCCCGGCGAGGTTTGCAAGGCATTATGCAACGGTGACTGTAAAACGCGTTGGCTTGCATATGCATAGCCTGTCACCTCCCAAACTCAGGGTGAAGATACGTCCCCAGGGGAGGAGGGCGCACGGATGAGGGCGCTAACAGGAAGGGAGCAGACAGTGAGTGCCATCTTGCTGGGGGGTTCCAAGAGCAAAGCGCCCACGGTGACAGCAGCGGTGGCCTCGGCCTCCACCAGCCAACGCTGCCGGCTGCAGCCTCGTTTGCCCCCCGAGTTTTGCAGGAGTCCAGTGTTGGTCTAACCCGCCCCACTACCCTCTCCCGTAGTGGTTTCTTTTCCCTGGCTAGTGCCTGGTTCTCAACTTGACACCTTGATCTCGGATCTGATTGTAAAAGAAGTGACCACGCCGGCGCCGAGCGCTAGGGCGAGCTAGACTGGCCAGCGGGGCGGAAGGATCCTTCTGGGAGGCCGAGAGCCCCAGCTGGGACTCGGTGGCAGCTGGCAAGGCCTTACTGTAACCCCTCTGGGCGTCTCCCGGTCCCCGCGTTGGGCTCTGGTTGGGGGGGGGTGTTTCCCGCCGGACCCCCACGACCCACGCACGCGGAGTAGGACACGCTATTCAGGTTCAGTCTCCGGACCTCAGCGCGCCTTCTCCGCCCCCTTCCTCAGCCTGGGAAGGCGTGAGGGCCCCAGCTTTGAGACCGCCAGCCCCCGGAGGACCAGCGGGGTTGAGGAACTTGGTTTTGGAAAAAGAACCACCCTCCCCCAACTCAAAGAAAACGAATTAGCGTCCACTGCATCTTCTTAGCCGCTAATCTATCCAGGATTGCGGGCAGGGGGCGGGCTGGTGGCTTTAGATATAACCACTTGATAACGCTGGTGGCATTAAAAGCAGATGAGGAAGGGCGGTTGTTACTCTTGCAAGTTCAGAGATTTATTCTGGGAAAATGAGCCGCTAGACTCCCACAAGCCTAGGGGTTCTAGAAACGCCCAATTAGGATCGATGCGAGGAGCAGGCAAGCGGGTTTTCCGTACAACCCAGAGCTCAGTTACAAAACTCCTTAGAGAAGGTGCGTTCGACCTGCAAATAGACGTCCCCGAAATCAGGGTGCCTCTAAGAAGCCTATTCTCCTCTGGGGTTCAGAGACAAAGCCCAGAACCCCCCGCCCTGGTAACCACCCCCCACCAGTCCAGACTCCCCCAAAGAGGCGGCGTGGTGCCCACGTACTGGCACTTAGAGCGGTTGCTGGAAACTTCCCCCGGCACCGCAGTCCTTTACCTGGCGGCCGCGTCTCCTCGCAATGGGCTCATCCGAATCCGACAGGGTCGGGGAGGTGAAAAGGGAAGAAGCTGGCTCGGCAGCAGTGGGGCTCCCGGGGCATGGTATTGTTTTAGGGGTCGCCGCCAAGGTCCCTCCTGCCCATCGTTGAGAACTGCCACCCTGGTCCCCGGGCTTGGTGGACCAGGCGGAGATGCCGCCTCGCCGCTGCTGGACGCTTGCTGCTGGTAAGGGAGGTGCACCCCGAGCCGGGCCAAGTCAGTGCCTCGGAGCGGAGATAGAGATTGCAGGCACCGATGTTATCTCCAAGCGCACCTTGCTCCGCGGTGACGATGGATGATACCGAACGCGCAAGCGAAGGCGACAGGTTTCCAACATACAACTAACTACAAGGTACCCAGTCTGAGACAGTATGTTCTCTTTCCCCTCCCCCTCCTCCCCCTCCTATCAGGGAGGGAACTAACTTAACCCTATGTGCGCCCCACACTCCCCGGAGAAGCTGGAATCCACTAGGAAACCGCAGGCGGCTCCGGGGGCGAGAGCTTTGTTCACGTGCGTTCCCAGTGTGGGCCTGTAGCTGTCTAGGGCACTCGCAGGGCAAGACGCCAGGGCGGGCTCCCAGCGCCAGACTCCAGGATGGGAAGCAGCCCTTGCGTTTCATCCGGACCAGACCCAGCCCTCTTCGGAATCTTTTTTTTTTTTTCTATCGCCAGTTACCGGGTTTATTGAAGTTGCCAGCAAAGTTTTTTTTTTTTTTTTCCTTTACTTCTCTATCCCCCCCTCCTTGTATTATTTCCTCTCCTTGCTGTGCTTTGAAGATTGTGGAACTCCTAGCTGATTCCAGCTCTAGCTTTTAACTGTATTGCGTGTGTGAGACGAATGGTGGAGTGCAACACCCACTCATGCCAAATTTAAATGAAGCTACCAGGAAAGCTGCCTCCCACCTACCCAGCCAGGGCAGGAGTGAGACAAATGACACTCAAATAAGGAAGACATAACCAGATAAGGAGGACTGAGAATCCGGAAGATGAGGAGAAGGAGATGAAGAAGGTGAATGTGTGAATGGGAAACGAGGAGGGAAAAGCTGGGTGGGGAAGGAGGCCATCCCTACAACAAAAACGGGAACACAAACAAGAATGACGGTGCAAAAACACAACTAAATTCCAACTCGGAGCAAGCAGGTCAGCTTTAAGGGCGGAGATTTTAACTGGCAAAAATTTCTCAAATCCTTCCAAAGAGGTTAAAGTAAAGAATATATCTGCCTTGCATTTAGAAAACAGCGTTGACTAAATGTTCTGGACTCCCAAGAGATTAAGCGGGGTTGTGGGCAAGGCATCTGGAAGTGGAGGAAAGGAAATTTAAAGAGAAAAGTATCCCTACAATGCCTCTGCTGTCGCCGTCACACCCGAATGAGCCGGGACATCTCGCAGAGTGCAAACTCAGATCCTCGCATGAGTATCATCTTCTTACTGTCTCCATTCCGGACTAAAGAAGGAAGAAGCCTTTAGAAAGTATTCAGAGGATGACACTTGGATTTTGCTAAAATCAGTTTTTGTAGAAAGAAAACGAGTGCTTTCCACCAGATAGATGTTCTAATGTCTCTCTGCAACATACTCAGGGCAGTGATAATCTTAACAGCCACTTCAGATGTCTCTCTGAGCCCTGGCAGCCCGGATAGCCAGTGAGAGTGGCTCCCTGCCCTTCCTGTGAAGAATTCCGTTGTAAATCCTTCTAGTTTGCCAAGGTGGCAGCAAAGCATAGGGATAGCTCCTCGCGCTCCACCGGCAGAAGGAAAAACCACATTTTACTGCAGATCTTCTTCTACCTGTTTTTTAAGCGTCCGTTTCCTTGTGTAAGTGTCCACAGTGTCCACACGAGGTTCTTCCTTTGAAATCTTGATCTGAGAGGACAGTATAATGATTTCGTCTTCAAGAACACATTTCTGTTTCACGGCAAAACGGAACCTGTCCAGGTTTCACTTTCTGATTGATGCCGCTGGGGGGAAAAATGAATGAGTTAAACAAGAGCGGAGGGAATGGTTACAAATGTTTAAAATTTGTATCTTCCATCATTGCTGTTTTTAAAGTATAAGAAAACCGTGTTGTGCATGTGTTCGCCCTATTCGAGGATATTTGTGTAGGTGCTGTAATCAGGGCAAAAATGAGGGAAACGCACACCGAATGTACTAAGAGAATCATTGAAAAGAATTTTTTATCCACGTGGCCCGTCTGAGTCAGGTTTAGAAATCTGATGATTGGGTGAGAGGAACTAAAGGAACAGAAAACGTTGTTTGGGGGCTCCAAAGTGTCATAATTTTGCAGACTCATACAACTGATCAGTAGATTCTTTTTACTGAGAAACTCTCACTAACACATCAGGGTAGAGAGGTGGACAGAGGAGTTACAAAAATTGAATCTGGGATATTAAAAAAGAAAACCAGAGATTAGTTCCTTAGTTATTCTTAACGTGTCAGTCCTCAGAGGAGTTCTCATTTCAACTGAAATCAGGCCCTGCGGCCTTTTGACCCTCCCCCAGTGTCTCTTAGATCATGCCTCATTACTACCATACACACCTGCATTGGCCTGTCTCTCTAACACTGAAAGTAAAAGGAACACGGTGTCTGCTTTAGAAGACAGTGTTTTCAGCTCAAAGCACTGACGATTATGATGGGTAAGTTCAGTTATGAACCACTGCTCCTTCATTTATAAAATGGACACTGAACATCCTGGTTGCACCAGCCCTATAACATTGTACCATTTAAATCAGCAGAGGTGAAATGCTTTGACTTCTTGTTGTGATTAATGACGTTATCATGATATCACATAGTCTCAGGCTTCCAATTATGTAAATTATATCAATCTAAACAATGTCAGCTTCCCTAAAGTCACCATCTTGTATTACCTTGGGACATTTTCATAACTAAGAAACTAACATTGCTGCATTTTTCTTAACAAAGCTGCAGACTTTTTGGTATTTCAATATTTTTTCCATTAATGCGCTTTTTCACTTTCAGGATCCATCGAATGGCTTCAGTCATCACACCTCCTCTGTTCTGTGACAGTCAGTATCCTTTGTTTTTTTTTTATGATACTGCAAGTTTTGAAAAGTAATGCTGCAACATTTCTCTCAGTTTGGGTTTGTCTTATATCTTCTCATGGTCAAACTCCAGGTATGGGCTTTAAAGAAAAAGTAGTATCTTACTTAGCATACCCAGTCAGGTAACACTAGTGATGCTAACATCACCTAAGATATTTTGTACCAGGTTTCTCACCTTGGGATTATCTGCCTTTTGTACATTCTGTTCTTTGAAAGTAAGTCACTAAACCCAGTCCACTTTTATGCTTTTAAAATGAGCAAAATAAGCATAAATGTTATCTGAAACATCACTAATATGACACTCGCTCAGGAATAATCTCCCAGAGAATTCCTCCTATGCAGAGCTGAAAACCTCACATATTTTCTTATGGAAGTGTTCCTCTGTCTACTTATGTTGAAGCCATTTTCAACTAATCAGTGCTTTATAATTCTCAATCCTATTCATTCTTCAGATCTTGTTGATTCATTTGGAAGGTCCTTTCTTCTTCAGTTCTTTTTGCTGTAGTTTTCCATTAGTATGGTGCTCACTTCATTCTCCTTTAGAATAATATTAACTCTCCATATATTTGTCTCAACAAAACCTTGGTATTTCAGAGAATTAACTAAGTTTCTGAATGCTGTTTCTGAGTGTCTAGTGCAGCAACTTTCCACCTGCTAGATGCTCAAAACATACTTCTGGTGTTGTATGTAAGCTTCACTGGCAAGTGGAGAGAAATGTATCCTTTCCTCTGAGGTGAGGACCACTGAAAGGAAATCTATGGCTGGTACATTTTGGAGAGGTGGTTTTTCTTTTCTGTCATGAGTAGAAAATATTCCAAATCTATCACATTCTTTTTGTGAGTATAGCTTGACTCATGAATCTATGACAGAAAGGCATACCCTCCTGGCTTTGAAACAACTGGTATGTGTACACCTCTTCCATTTACCCATAAAACATCTATAGGAAGCATAAAGCAACTTTTGATGAATACATCTACTCCCAATTCTGTCAAATTTCCAAATCTAGTAGACACATAATCATATGCTCATTACAGAAATGCAGCTCTGTATGTGCAAAGTACTTCAGTGCCCTGAAACAGGTTTTCTCTAGTGAGAAGGCCTCATTCAAGTGATGATGAGGCTTTTTTGACAATATATTGATTTTACAAAGTATTTTGTGACATTATTTTAATAGCCACGCTTCTGCAAGCAGCAGCCTCAGCTCCTGGAATCTCCTGTCTCATGGAAAACCTCTTAGGCCAAGAAAATCAGTGGAAAATCAGTATGTACATAATTGCTTGAATATCTATTTCCCCAAGCCTTGGTTTCTTTGCCTTTCTGTGCAGGTTACAAGATGATTATGCGTGAACAAAAACAGAGGGTACTGACAGGAAACAAAAGCACATTAAACCATGGAGATTTCCTCCCAACATAAACCTTAACCGTTTGTTAAGCAGTTGCTCTCTGTTCCAAAGGGAAGCTGGCAAAATCTGATGCAAACACTCCCAACCACACCGGGAGGAATAACTGAGTGAAACGCCTTTTTAAGAGGAGTGGAAAAGAGATGAAAGAGCTACCCGGGGATTTATTCAATCTTAGATCCTGCCATGGTAGAAAATGTTACTGAGCTTTCCGTATCTACATTTAATGCTCATGGAGAGAAGTGACATTTTAATTTGAGAAAACACCTTTAACTGAGTGTGTAAATAAGATTTTGCATTTAAAATGGTATGCTTTTTTGTCCCTGTGTATATTGAAATACACGGGATATAAAATTATACCCCTCAGAGTAAGGCAGAGACAGATTTCAAGACTGAGTTTTATCATCACTCAAGCTTTGTGCAGCCTTGAAGAGCTCTGAACTTGGAAGATCTAACTGTAACTCTCCATCATTTTATGTCTATGGTTCATGGTTCTGAGCCTCATTTCCCTCCTGTCCAATTAGAAAAATAAACCTAAGGCTGTTGTCCATTGTGGATATATACAGATCTACTGAAGTGAGCTGTTTCAAAGCTCAAATAAGAATTAACTGTCATTATTTATATAATTAGTGTGCTTTGCAGGACATAATTTAGGGTGACACATATTTTACTCTGAAAAACCTAAGCCTCTCCATGGAGTTATACTTATGTGGCTTTGCTAGTAATTTTCTTCTAAACATGTCTGAGTTTCAAAGGTATAGAACTGCTTAGGTCTTGCAAAGAGTCGCTATATAACATTTAAAGTACCATCTCTTGGTACTAAGTCTTGACCTGTCTAGGAAGTCAACTTCCTCAACCCAGGGGATGCCGAGTTTATCTTTCATTCTACCATTTAAAAACCAATACAAATTGCTTGTCCAGTTTTCTTTCACACTCCCTTTTCTTAACTAATAGAAATAACTGTAACATTTTTCCAGTGGTTCTTTTATTTCTCTACCTTATTTTATTATTGAATTATTTCAATGCTTGAGTTTTCTGGATTTAGTCAGCTCGTATAGCTACTCAGTTGGAACAACTTGATTTTAATGTTTCCCCTTTCTCCACTTAGAATATTTTTGAAAAATAAAATTAACAGTAAAGCTTCATAATAAAAACTTTAAAGAAACAGTTGCTCACAGATAGTGTCTCATCGACACTTTGAGCATTTTTAAAGTTTCTGTCAATACAGTGTTTTGTAAATAAACTAAGACTTAATTTGGCATGAATGTATGGGAGATTATGGCTATTTCATGTTTGTTCTTTATCAATGGTGCAGGAGTAGAAATTAAATTCCCCCTCTGGGACACTGAAGAACTTGTTTTGTATGATGACAAAAGTCCAGGAAATCTTTTCTCTAAAGAAATCATTCAGAGCATGATTTTGGAAAAATTCTTCCCATTTTCTTTGTTGCTTTAAAGAACTGTCTAGTGGATCCCAAGTATAATATCAAAACCTAGAAAGGTGCAGATTGTTCTGGTTTTGAATTAGTTATTTATTATTTCTATGAATTCTACTGTATTTTCATGTTTATATATTGGGGTTTCCTTATTCTTTTAATGGATAGTATTTGATTTTTTTAAAGTGCAACAGATATAAAATAGAATCATACATCAGAGCGAGGAGGAAGTCAAGCAATTAGCATTAAAATGCCTCTATTTGCAGAGGCTTTATTCCTTAAAGCTTTCCCAAGTGAGTTATTTTATTCACCATTTCCCTAGTCCACTTCCACATGACAAGGTAATAAAGAGTTAAGTGTAAACTCCATATTCAAGTTCACAGACAAAGTGAGACCTCAGCAAGTAGGTGTCAGGTCCCTGGAAGACTAAGGCTGCAGGATGGCCCACTGGGCTGCAGTAGCTTTTATTCTCATGCAGGCAGGCGTATTTGTACTTGTGATTATAGACAAAGCTAAAGAACCTCTAAAAATTTTTGATTTAGCTCTGAATTAAAAGCCAGATTTCCCTAAAGCCACTATGCTATCCTCATGAAACAAACAACTTTTAAAGCTATCAAAATAAACCTATGGAAACTAACATTATTAGAGAAATCTAAACCAGAACCACAGTGAGATATACTTACTACCCACTGCAAAGGTCATAGTAAAAAGACAGACAATGACAAGTGGCAGCAAATTGTAGAGAAACTGGGAGATCATAGATTACCAGTGGGAATGTAAAACAGGACAACGAACTTGAAAAGCGATTTCATGTGATGGTCTCTGAAAATATGAGCTTAATATGTTCAAATAAAAACTTAACATCTAATCCCACAATTACATTTTCAGGGATTTTCCCTGAGAGACATCAAATTATGTCCACATACTTCTTTATAAATGTTGTTCTTAGGATTATTCATAATATTCAAACATTGGAAACAATCTAGCTGCCCATCAACTTATGAACGGAAAGACAAAATGTGGCGTAGCCAAGTAAAGAAATACTATTTTGCAGCAAAAAGGAACACACTGAGGATATGTACCCCAACATGGGTCAACATCGAAAGCATGTCCAGTGAAAGAAGCTGTATACAAGAGGCTAAATTCAATCATAATTTAATTTATAGAACCATGCAGAAAAGATAAAGATATGGAGACAAAAATAAGATCATTGGCTGGTAGGGGAGGAAGACTGGTAGAGGGAGGGGGAATGTGGATTAACAGCAAATGAGCATGAGAGGTCATAGTACCACAATGGAAATGTTCTAAAATGAATTCATCATGATGGATGTGTAACTTAGTAAATTTAGGAAACAAATCATTGAGCTGGAAAGCATGAATTTTATGATGTAAAAAATATGTTTAAAGAGAATTATTTTTAAAATGTTGAGAAGGATGTCAGTATCTATGGACCTTTAATCTTAGTGAAATCCTTATAGGTTCCTTTATATCACCAATAAATAGGGCGGAATTGTCTTTTTTTTCCTTTTCATCTTTTTGAGATGAGGTCTCGCTTTGTAGCCCAGGCTGGTCTTCAACTGGCAATGATCCTCCTGCTTCAGACTCCCAAGTGCTGGGACTACAGGTGTGCACCACCACGCCAGGCTGGAACTGAATTATTTTAAGAGAGGTAAATAAGGATTATAGAGTTTACTAGAAATGTGACAGTAATACAGAAGTCTAAACAGTTTCCCTGTGGTTCACTAGTTCTTCAAAACAGCGAGTGAATTCCAATTTGATTAAATCCATCTGTGTGATCTGTAAAACTCAGTGGCAAAAAACAAAATATAAACTATGTACAATTTCCACTCTATTCTCTTAAAAAAGAAATAAAAATGACCAAGATGTGCAATATATATGTATATGTATGTATATATAATATATGTGCATCTATCTATCTATCTATATATAGGCTTAATGGATATATATAGATATAAATATATCTTCAAGATATGCCATATGCATTTGGGGAAATACATATATATGGTGTATTGCAAATATAAACTAGTAAAAAGGCAATATTTGTAATAGATTTGTGAATCCAAAAGGGAATTATTTCTGTTTTTACACTAAGTTATTTGATCTCCAAATTCTTCTGTCAAAAGTCTCTATTTCTTGAACCCATGGAACATTTATTTACCAGACTCAAGGTAAGAAGTTTATTTATTAAAATACATTTTTGGTAATAGGGTTCTTAATTACTTTCACATATCTGCACAACGGTTTAATTCCTTCAAATCTTCAACAACTGGATTTTTTTTTCCTCTGACAAGTTAGTGCAATATAAATATCAATTTATGACAATGTCATTTTTTTCTTTTTTCTGACAAAATAAGAACAGATGATACAGATAAGTTAAGAAAAGCAGACATAGTGTCAGCTGTCAAAGGGGTAAGAAAGACAACATCTTGTCCATCAGTGAACTCAGATCAAGGGTCTTTCTTTGCTCAAATGATGACAACTCCAGAGCTACCAGAAAAATAAATAAACGAAGCAAACAAAGGTATTTCCCATGGCTTCTACTGTAATGTCTGGAGCAAAAAAACTGCATCATTTTACCAAGAGGATGGCCTGAAAAAAATTTAACTGCAGTAGCAAGAGAAAAACTAAGTTTGAATAGGGACCTATCATATCTGTTACATTTGGATAACTATCATCATGCCTTACTGGATGCTGCTGATGAAAATGTCCAGGAAGAATAATCTACATCCACCTTCAATGATATAGGAGGATCCAAAGCACAGATTTATAATCCTCACATAGGAGCTTTAGAACAACTGTTGTCACTGTCTCCTGTGAGAAACAGACCCTGGTTGGTATTCTATGTTCATTTTTCTCAAACGGAAGTTGTCCACTAAATGCAGTGAAGTGGAGTTTGTATGCACTCTCCCGGCCTTTTTACAGTCAAGAAGACCTTGGCTTTCAGGCCACAGGAAACTGTTGGAACAGTGAAGGAGCTTAGAATTATAACCAGATCTTCTGGGCCTGTGAGCCATTTATCACCTATTCATAGTATCCCTGTGGAAAAGAGATGAGGGGAAGTGAATTAAACAAGGTGTGGGTTTGAAATGCACAGAAAAACAAAAATCAAACGCAATTTTTAACCTGAAACAATTAAAATGTTTTACAAAGGATGCAAATCACATCCTTTTTTTTTTTTTTTTCCATTTTACACCATGACACTCAGTCTTTAGGAAAAAGGGTAGAAATTGCATTTGAAGATACTGAGAAAATTTACTGATTGGCCAGGTTCTTTTATTAATGCCTTATAAAATGTGTGCAAATACAGAAGTGTGTGATAATTTATTAAGTAGAATCAAACAGAATTTCAGGGTCAAATATGTCCCCAAACAAGTTAACAATTTAGGAAAATTACTTAATGACATTATGGTCTAGATGCCTCATTTGTCACAAGTGACGACAATTTCTAGCAAAATTGATTCATATATATATATGTATTCATATATATTCATATATATATTCATATATCTACATATATATTCATATTTATTAAGTACAAAATAAAACAGATAAAGATATTTAAAGGAAAAGCATTTTATGAGGCAAAATGTCATTCTCATTAAAAAATGAGAAGGTCACCTCTTTAACTCCTTAGTTTACTTAAGGATGAAAGCCAGAGTCAGTCCGCTAGGAAATGACTAGGTTCTGGTTTACATTTCTTACATTATGGGGGTGATAAAGGCTGATCTGTAGACATGACAAGTACAAAGTCCTACTGCATAGGTTAGAGCTTGAAGAGTCTCATTAATCATGCTCCATTGTGTTATAGGTTCTGTAAACACTGCAAAAGCATCAAGTACAGCCCTTCTCTTTGTGACATCTTTCCAACCTAACCCTGGGAAGCCTTTGAGATTTCCTTAAATGACTGGATCTCATTTCAGTCATTAGTTAACCCTGCCTAGTGGGTGACTCTGAATCCCACCAGGCAGAAGTAAGGAGATACGTATTCAAACAGTTCAAACATGGTTTGTCCCAGTCGCATAACCATTAAGAGCCGTAGGGGGGCTTTCCTTTCTCAGGATAAGTCGAGTTGTTTATGTGAATCACATAATATTCCACATTTATTTGCCTTTGGAAACTAACACTGTGAAGTTGTAGTTAGGAGAAGAATGCTAACAGTCCTTCCTGTGGATAAGGGTGAAATTAAAAAGAAAGTTCCAAGTGATTTGTAAATTCTTTGGCATAGTTTTTCATGTAGGAAAGGGCTATTTTGACATAAGCAAGCAACCAGGCCGCCTCTGGTACTATAGGCTCAAGTACATTTAAAATTCACCAGGACTCATCTGAGTTGTTCCTTATATTTTACTTAAAGTTAGCATCCAAAGTCTTGAACATTCTAATTCCTAAATATTTTATCATTTATTTACTTACTAATATTTTATTAATATTTTCCTTCCTGGAAATGTTTGAATGCAAACCTTTCAGCTGAACTTTAGTCTTATTTTGTCTTTTAAAGCTATCATAGAAAAGACCCCAAGATAATTAATACTAACAACACCATTTGAATATTTGTGTATATGCAATTTGTACACAACATATATATATATATATGTATATCTCAATACTATTAACTCAAAGGCATAACTGAAGAATATACCAATCCTCAATTTCCACGTTGTTTTGCAAGGTTCAGATATTAAACCATATTGGGTAAAAACATTAATTTTCTGAGTTGCTTTTCTTACCTCTAATCCTCTTCATTTATGTACATTCCAGGTAAACTCATGGCTATGATGGTTAAGGATGGTATAATAAGGCAAAGTTTAGAGATTTAGTGTAAATTTTATCTCTTCTATGCACTCAACACTTCTTTTATATTTCAAAGTAGTGAGATTCCATCTAAGCAATTATTAGAAACAATAATAACATAATTGCATATCTAAATCATTTCAGTGGATGAGTCATAAGAAGATAAGAAAGATTGGAAAATGTCAAGATGTTTACATCATGGACTAAATAATGTGAATTACAGCTATGAAACTCTTTACTCTTCCTGCATATCATAATATGATTACATCATTATTTTGCATCACTAGTCACATTAATAAAATATTTTTTCTATAATTCTTGCATCTTGTGTATTTCTCTCAAATTTGATTGTCCCCTTTGTACTTTTTCGAATTAAAATTTATCCTAATCTAATAGTTTTTCCTTTTCTTTGTTAGTATGTGAATGGTACCTGCACTTTACTACTTAGATCATTATGTATTTCTGAAGCCTTACTCTATTTTAGGCACTGCATTTAGTGTTAGCAAATGTGGTCTTAATAATACTAACTCTAATGTAAATTATTGCAGAGGATGCTGATAATTAGCCAAGTTTACAGAGCAATTCTATATGTTACTAAATTAAGGCAAACACAAAATTCTATGGACCAACTTAGAGTACACAACTAACACAGTCTTTTGGGCTTTCTGATATTACCTGGAATATTGTAGGAACTTCTTTAAAGTTGCTTATATTATACCTGGAATATAATCTGTGTAGAAAGAGAAGAAGAGAGGGAGGGAGTGCTTCATCTTCAGACAGAGCAGAAAAGTGAGCTTTATATTGACAGATATAAAGAGTCACCAAAGTTTATTTTATTTTAAAGAAAAGAAAAATGAACAATAAAAACAATGGTATAAAATTTCAAAACAAGATTGTAAGAGTAACAATGGTTAGTACATTGTGTATAGTCATCTTCAAGGTAGTTGCTCATATTACAAAATATAGGCATGAAAAATTGATCAAACCATATAAGCATAAACCTTTACTTTCAGTGAGCTAATAGCAGTTAATAGTGTAACTATTTTAACTATCTTGTGTGTGTGTATATATTTTTTTCCTTTTCCCTTCTTTTCTCCTTTCCCTCATTTCAGTTTCTTTTTCCTCTTGAGCATTTTCTCCCTATTTCATAATATCTATTGTACATTTTGGGTCTTATTTACTCTTTCAGCTTCTAACAGTAAGGAGACAACATGACGTTTTTAAATAGGACACTGATATGACCCACCTTGTGCTTTTCCTGTTGAACTCTGCCAATAGGAAAACAAGTGAGGGGGCTGGGGATTTAGCTTAGCGGGACAGTGCCTGCCTGGAAAGCACAAGGTCGTGAGTTTGATTCCTGGTACTGGAAGAAGAAAAAAAAAAGAAAGAAAGAAAACAAGTGAGTGTGGGTTTATTCCAATAAAACTTTATTTACAAAAGCAATGCAACTAGCTAGGATTCACCAACAGATTATAGGTGTCAAGACTTAAGAAAGTGGCTTAATAAAGACTTAATAAAGTAAAATTGTAAGTGTAGGGCAGCAGATGTCATGTTTCTGGAATAGTCAGCATAAGCAGCAGATACTTACCATTAAGTAACACCTAAGATACATGTGTTAAGATACCATGTAGAATGTTATAGAAAAAGGCAATGGCACTATTATGATTTGGTTATCAAATGAGCCCCAATAGTTTCATGTGTTCAGAGGTGTGGCTTTTTAAAGGTGATTCAATCTTGGGAACAGCAACCTGCTCAGTGGATTAATCCAATCATGAATTCATAGCTGAATGTGATATTAGGTGGTATGACCTGCTTAAAGGAGATAAGTCTATGGGCATGTAATCTGGCTCCTTCCCTTCTGTCTGGATTTTGCCATTTTTCTTTACTTCTAGCCACCATGATTTAAGCGGCTTTCTCTTCTACAGTGCCCCTCCAGTGTAATGTTATTGCCTTGGAACCAAACAGCCATGAACTCTGAACCAAAACAAATCCTTTTCCCTTGAAGCTGTGTATATCAGGTATTTGTTCCAGTAGTGAAAAGGTGACTAATACAAACACAATCATAGAAATGATTGCAATTTGGAGACTGGGTTGAAATGACCCTACACAGACATGGAAATAAATTAAGCATTGTAAAATCAAATGGGGAGCTAACCATTCTGTTCTTGTAAAAATTAAGACCTAATGTACATATATAAAATAAATATTCATTTTTAATACTGTACTTAGGTAGATAGTATTTGAACACTACTAAGTTTTGAAAATAAAATGTGTGAGATGGAGACCGATATTATAGTGTAATAACATGTAATATTTTGAAATGCTTAACAGAGTCACACCTAAGCTACAAAGACAGGGGAAAATGTGGAAACATTTAAAGAAAAGATGTTACTCACAGGAAGAGAGCCAATGTGAAAACTCAGAGAAACATCAGGGAGGAGACTGAGGAGAAACCCACAGTGATAGACAGTAATGGTTTGGAGAGCAGATGGTAACATCTCATTCTTAAGGATAATATGAGTGAAGAGTCTGCCTTTTCTCAATACAAAGTTACGTGTTTTCTATGTCATTTCTTTCCTTTGTGGCATAGTTTCATCTGTAATTTACCTTCAGTAAGTATTGGGTTTTTATTACTTCCAAGGTAACATCACTGCTATCCCTGTAAACACCAAGTGCTGTCATGGCATTTTTCCCATTCTCATCTCCATTTTTGCTTTCATCCTTCATATTCTGCCAATAAATGTGGAATCCATGAGGTTGCGCTGTAACGTGACATTAACTTGTTGGCAGTCTTTAATGTCTGGAAACATTTGGCATGGAAAGCTCCACCCAACAATGAAACACTTCCTCCCATGTGAGTTAGTTCATGTCAATGGGCTGTAGGTCACAAACACCCCTCCAGAAGCTACCCACACACACCCATATTAAAGGGAGGACACAGAGACAAATGTCAAAAGCCAAGGACAGCAGAGTTGATGCCATCTCTAGTTCTCAGCTCCAATACCACAAGCCTCTAGGACCTCCAGATGTGTGTGAATAAGCTTTTGTTTTTCTACCCAGAAAAGAATGTGCAGGCAGAGATTGAAGATTGTTTATTTAGAGCCTGTGTGTGTGTGTACTGAAGATATATATATCAGTTTACAATATTACAAAAAAAATCTAGTGTCCAGAAAGTTAAATGCAGTTTCTCTGTGTTCCAAAATGCAAATCTTAGAGTTCATTATTATCATTATCATTAATTTTATTCTCACCAACTTCAAAGAATTTTCCTAGTTATACTATCTGCCATGTGGAAACGAGCATATGTCTAGCAACACAGCCTGAAGCTTTTTTCTTTGATGACGTGGTTCATTTTAATGAAATAGAGCCGTAGGTTAAAAAAAAAAAGAAAGAAATAGTGCTAGGTTTCTACCAAGTACATTGTTAGAATGAGGCTGGCTCTATTCAGTTTTACAGAGTACTCTTTGGACATTTAACTATTTTCCATGTGTAAGAAATAATTCCATCACATCTTAAATGTTACTGTAAAGAATATAATATGTTCATTTCCACAATTCCACAAATTCATATATAATATTATTTTACTGTCTTAAGTTATACCAATATATCCATATTCTGACTAATTAGTGGGGGTTGATATACATTTATCTTAATTTAATTTTTTTCTCAGTGAAATGTCTAAATATAGCAGAAAATTTCCATATCTCTTCACTAGGTTCATTAAACCCACAGAAAAGTAATATTTACAATTAGTTGTAAAAAAAGTATTGCTTTGGCTGAAACAATTCCAAAGTAGGTGATCAGGATTGTAACTCTTCAAAATTTCATAGCCCTGGTACATAGAATACACTTTAGATAACTCAGTGCTTTAAGAAACATTTTAAAAGTCATATCTTGGAAGTAACTATTCCAGTCATTTAGAGAATATTCACAAATTTATTGCTTAGAATGTGCGTATTAATTTCTACTATCCTAGGGTGTGATTTGTCACTTAGGAAAGAAAATTACTCCCCCCATGTTAACTTTGCAAGTCCTACTGCTCAAAAATTGTCACAAAGTAGGCATCAAGAAATTTGTACCCACTTAAGCTCAGATGTTATCCCCTTAGATATATCTCCCGGGACTCCAAAAATAGACTAGAATGTTCAGTTGTCTTAGTGTGTGAGTCTGAAGCAAGATACCTACTATTACAACACACACGGTCTAGATATTCAGCAAACAATAACTCTGGCGAGTGTGAACACTGAACCTTCTACTCATGTGCTGGACATCTATGCCAGGGACTGGAGATGAAAAGCTAAACAGAAAGTTCTCCTAGCTCTGATCTTCAGGGTTTGTTTGGTTGAAACTAAGGAAAGAACACTAAATTGCTTTAGTTGACAATAATGGTAAGTACGTATCTGATAAACCCATCAATTATTGTCCAACTGCAAATTACTGGTTTGCTTTTATTCTAGATCTAATCTTTTTTAAACAAGTACCTGCCAATTTCATTAACAATCTGAAGCTTGTCAAAGTGACAAATTATTCTTGCAGTACTTCTCTGCTGATTCTAAGACAAATGATCATTTCAAAGCACGTCTTTGCTATACTTTTACTTTACTGTGAATTTACAGGACCAACAGTTAAAAACTGAAGATGGAAATAAATCATTTCTGAATAATTAAATAAATTGCAAGATGTCTAAGTTTCAGCAAAGGAGAGGAGCTTGCCGATTGTGCTTGCAACATGTATGTATATTGCTTTAATAGGCTTTTCTCCAATTTCAGTTTTGTTTACAAAACTACAGCCCAAAATCCACTGGGGCTTTGAGCTGTAACTTCAGTCTTTTACATTAATATCTACTTGTAAACAAAAAATCCTTTCTCTTGTCTATTGATAAAACTCAATGACTCTGCAAGTTACCAAATCCTTACTGAATATTAATAAAGAGCAAATGGGAACAAAATGTAGAAAATAAATGAAAGAGAAAAATATTTCTCCTGATAAGATGGAAATATTTGTGCTGATCATGTCTTCCCTCACAATTTTTGAGTCTTATCTTTTCAACTAGTTAAATAACTCCAGAAACTATCATCTGTAGTGATGTCAGTGGAAAGAATATAAGGAAGAAGAAAGGATGGGGAGGTTTCTCTGCTGGGTTACTTACATAAGTTTTATTTTTATCCATTCTGTCTACTTACATTTCTACGGCAGGACATTTTTCTGTTGAAGAAAATTTTCATGAGCTATGATTTTTTTGAAGCCACTAGACCACTAGACAAACTCTCTTGATCCAGCTACTTCTGGCCTGTATAAAATAAATATTTGATATCAGTACTGCCTGCACTTTTCCTGCTTGCTTAGAAGCCATTCCTAGACATATACGACTTCCTATCAATTCTTGATATTGCTTCAGAGCCCTTCTTAACCCAGAATTCTAGGAAATTAAAATAACTGATCAGTACTGTGATATTAGTTTTCACCAATATGTTATCATACTTCTACAGGTTTCTTAAGGTATTTTCCTTCTTATCTGTAGATTTACATGTTGATGGCCATAAGAACATCTTAACTTCCAATGGTCTTCCAAAGTTGGAAGTCTAAAAGTTAATTCTGCCATTCCAATATCTCTTACATTAATCCATTGCCATTGTTTTCCCCTAAACATTAATTGATATTTCTTATAAAGTGTTTTTCAACAAGAAATCTTGTTGTAGAAATCATGAATATTTCATTACTTGAATATACATGGAAAATGCTATATACTGCAGCCTCTTTAGAAGCATAACAAGTGGATAGTCAAGCAGAGCATCATAGAAGTAATATAGTAGAAGACAGCCCTGTCTGATTGAGTTTAACCATGTGTGTCCCAAATGTATTTGGCCACTGCAAACTTCTATGGAGTGTGATGCTTCATGTTTGGAAATGCTCCAGTGACTGTACTCAAACTTCTTTTCCCTTTATTCATTGCATTCTCTACCACCAGAATTGTCTTTCTAAAATTGTGTGATCAAGCATATGTTCCTAATGTTTAAAAACTCCTAATGAATTCACAGTTGCAGTAGTAGAAGTCAAAGCTCCTGATCAAAGTATTCAGAGATTGAAATTTCCCCTTGACTCTATCTTTACCAGTTGTACAAAGACTAAGTTTGGAAAGACGTTTTCTTTGCATGCAGTGAGAAGTTTATGAAGGAGTCTGTCCCCTCAGTCCTCTGTCTTCCTGCATACCATTCGCCAGCTATTGCTGTTTTCACTCACCATTCTATCTTATTTTCTTGAATCTTTGTCTATCAGCCAAAATTCATTGAATGTGGGCTCCAAGAGCACTATAAAGTTCTTCTCTTGCCTTCCTCCCATCGCCACACGTGAAAAAAGATCACTCCTTCAGATGATGCACTTTTCACACTTTGAATATTCCTCTCTACCTACTGCATCCTATGTGCACGGCCTTGTTATCTCTGATGTTCTAGCAGAGGGTTTCTCAACTTAGGTACTGTTGGTATATGGTGTGGCATGACTCCTTATGGGGAAATTTCATCATAACATTGTAGAAGATTTAGCACTATTCTGGCCTCTACTCACAGGTTACCAGCATACACTCATTAGTCATGATAATAAAAAATGTCTTCAGATATTACCAAAGTTGGAGGGGGCTGGTATTGCTCCAGGTCAAGAACCAGTGCTCCCTCTGGAGTAAACCTTTACATTTTTCTTATCATGATTTTGTGCCCCTGGAGTCAGCATAAATACATTATTCTTATTTGCCCTCTTAATGGATTCATTGTAGTCCACAAGGTGAGGCTGAATATCACACATTTTAAAATGTAGTGATTGGGAAATCTTGTGAGCTTTCTTATTTTCTCATTTTAGATTTTGCAGAGCCAAAACTGAGGGGATTCAGGACAAATCTTGGTCATTCAAGCATTAGCTGGAAACCCCACCTCTATTCCTCGTTTCTAGGATTTTGTTATTCAAAAGGCATCTTTTGTTTTGTGCTCTCTGTCCAGTGTTCAGGTTTGGTGCAGTGAATACACAGTGGAGCCATTAAAACTTGTTAACTACATTGATTTGTCTTTTTCTTTCTGTTTTTCTTTCATTAATGATACATAGAAATTATCTCCAAAGACATCTTTTTTTCTTCAGGAAAAAAAAATCTCATATTTTATTTAATACAAAGCATTGTCTTGTGATATGAAGACTCATCAAAATCATAATTACATTTCATTTGTCTGCACTGAGCTATCTGTCCTCGGTAAGCCTGATCTGTCTGTATTTGTACTGTATTTACCTGGTTCTCACCAATCTGCCAGGATTCCTGAGTGAATGTAAGGTACCTCTGGCACCCCTGCCTTTAATCTTCTAGAAGAGAAATGATTGATTATAACCTGTGTCCCCAAGCCAAGATATGGTATTTTGTATTTTCTTGTGTAAAAATTATTAAAAGCTAATGCTTGCCCTAGTGTTTGATATTTATCCACATATTTCATCTGTAATAGCAATTTTTGTACTGTATTCACAAATGTCCACCTTCCATTTCACACGAGAAGATGTAGTTGAGAGGTTCAAATACAAAGAGGTTCACAAATACAAATACATACAAATGTTAAGATCTTTACCAGAAGCTATCTCAATAATCTTGGCCTTCTGACTTTCACTTCTCAAGTACTGAGTTCAAAATGAGAAGGCAATTTCTCTCACTGGACTCACTAGTTTTAAGAAAGCTAGTTAATTCAGCGGGAATTTGTGGATGCAAAGGCTTTCTGTACACGAGCCTCTGATATTTAATTAAAAACTATAACAGGCATTTGGTCACTTGGGGTTTCTCAGCATGGCATATTATTCGGGACCAGAAGGGTTCTTAATCTAAGATCCATTTGGAAGCCTTCAATCAACAAATTTGGAAACCCTGGTAAAATGGCATTAGTAATTTGCATTTTTAAGAGAAAGACAATAAAGTCACAAATGAAATAGTTAAGAATGTGTTCTACTCCTCCAATTTAACTCTTCAAACTCAGGGTAGGATTGGGTAGTCAGTGGTAAGCACTGTTATTTTGCTCCAGCAGATATTCAGATGTAATTTTGATCTGGACACAAAATCATGGTGAAAGAATTGACACAGAGTAAATCCTCTTTTCCTCCTACTACAATTTTTATGTTGTCCATTGATCCTATGTACAAATGCATTAAATATGTCTTCACAGGCATACTCAGACATCGTGTGTTTTACTTTCATTAGAAGAAAAAAAGTACTAACTGTATGTATTTACCATTTACCCCACCAATTCTCAGCCTTAGAAATAAATATTATCAACTTCTATTTCTCCTATCTTAGAATTAAAATTCGATGCTTGCCTCTGGAGTTTCTTTAACTTTTTCTGGTTTAATTAGTTCCTCCAAGAATGCCTACAATTTTGAAAACAGCAGCAAATCCTCTACATTAGTGATTTTTGAAGGATATGTAGACCAACCAGAATTATCTAGCATGCCTGTCAAAAAATGCATATTCCTGAGAGCACTCAGACATATGGAGGAAAATTTGCTGAACATGGGTAGGATCACTCTGCATTTTAATATGCTCCATGCAAGGCATTTTCCTATAAAATAACGTTTTTAGTGACTGCCTTACAGAACAACTCCCAAATTCCAAATGTTACATGAGGTGGCTAGGAAAATTAATCTGAATACATCTCTTTCTTCACATCCTGCATCCTATCCTGTCAGCATATTCAAAACAGACATAGAATCTGCCTCTTTTCCTGGCCCTGCAAATGTAGTCAAGTCACCATTGTCCCTTGCTAAGGTCACTGGAAATACTTCCAAGCTTGCTTCTTGCTGTTACCTTTGTTCTCCTTCAGTCTATCTCAATACAGCTGTCAGGAAACTCTCTCTTAAAGTCAAATAAAATGCCTCCAATGTTCAGATCACTTCATGGGCTCCCTGCCTATGAGTGGAGGTCAAAGTCAGTACAATAGCCTTCAAAACTCTCATGATGTGGAGGTTGGGCTCTTTCCTCTTAATACCAGGTGCCTACTCCTTGCTACTGCCCATCACTTACAGTCATTCCTTGCCCTTACTCAGCGTAATGAGTGGCTTCCACCTCCGGTCGTCAAAATTCCCTGTCCTGCTCCTAGTTATTTGCCCAGTTTAGACCTTTCCTTTCTGCAGATCTTTATTTACAATTCCCCCCAAAGATTTTCCCAACAATGCTACTTAAAGGGCAATTGCTCCATATCTTGCCTCTTCTTTTCTTTTTTGTTTTGTCTCCCTCAAATTTATCACTATCTATCACAGTGGACACTATCCTTATTTTATTTATTGCAGTCTCTTTCTCTGACTATAATTCATAAGGGTACTTTTTTTTGCAAACTTGATTGGCTTACTGCTATACCCCAGGCCCAGGTATACCAGAATATGATAGAGTCTCAATAAATATTTGTTGAATGAAACGAATGAATTATCTCATGGTAACAGCCCTGCACTGCAAGCACTGTTATCTTTATTGACAGATAAGGAAACCAAAGCTTATAAAACAGAAATAAATAACTCATTCAATATCCTGCAGCTTGTAAAAAGCTGGGCAGTCCTTCCCTCTGGTGTCAAAACAACTCTCCTTCCCATGATGTGGCAATGCTCCTTAAAGATTCTCTCGGTTCAACTTCTTCATTGTCCAAATCAGAAATGGCTTTCACCCAAAATCACTGCATCATCGGAATAAAAGAGAAGGAATGCATGAAACAGACATCAGTTTGGTGCACAGGGTGGGCCACCTGCTTCTGCCCACTTTAGAGAGCCTTAAATGCCTACAGTCTCCCTGCAGGGGTTTCTCAGTGCAAAAGGCGGGCATATTGACCTGAATATACTGCATACATTTCTACCCCCACCGCCGCTTGATCATCACATGCACAGATTTGAAATAATCATCCTTCTCTACCTGCATCCAATTTTCAGTGTGTTCAAGCAAGTTATCTCTCGTACTTCACCTATATTTAGTTTCCTCCCTGCATCTTTGATGTCTACTCATTGTTTTCAGCCTGTAGACATTCACTGTAGTTCTCATGATTTATTTTTAAAGACATGTGTGTCCATGAAAAAAGAACATGGTGCTGCATTGGTGTTTATATGTGTTATACACACAGAAATGAGATGGTATTGTAAATTTTATTTCAATTTCTCACTTTTTAAGAAGCATTATGCCACTGAGGTATGTTCGCTTACCATTGCAGACATAGAGTAGTAGTATCATAACAACCCTTCTTAATATCTTGCTGTGTCTCTATTTATATAGCTCGATTTAGGTTATTGTTGTTA